GTGCAAATCGAAAGATATATAGGGACCGTTTACATTAAATCGGTTAAATATATATATATATGAGAGCTATATCTAAATCTGAACCGATTTATCCCAATTTCAATAGGGTCCTTGGGCCGAATAAGTGACCTGTGCCAAATTTCATCCAATTCGGATCATAAATGCGACCTGTACTTTGTTTACAATATAACATGCACAGACAGACGGACGGACGGACGGACATGCATAAATCGACTTAAAAAGTAATTCTATGCATATTCTCAAAAGGAACCATGTGTCTATCTCGTTTCCTTTTGCATGTTACAAACATATGCACAAAGACATAATACCCTGTACCACAGTGTGGAGAAGGGTATAAAAACGCACTTGTTGAATGGGGGCTATAAAATGGTAACACCTTTACATGACTATAATTTACATGAACATTTTCTATACGTATCATCATTAGCCTATTGGGACCTGTTGTGGTATCAAAATTCCCTTAATACAACAACTTCAGTTGTTTTCATCTCTCTCTCTCTCTTTCTCTCTCTCTCTTTCTCTCTCTCTCTTTCTCCCTATACAAATCCCATGTAAATCAATATACACTAAAACAATGGGCCTAAAATAAATTAATAACAATACCCAATACTCTCCGCAATAAAAAAAAACTGATTGGATTATAATGCGTTCATATGTGTTACAATAAAATTGTAATATTGATTTCAATATATAATATTAGGGAGTTTGGGGGAAATTGTTTTGTTCTCTGGCTTACGCTGGAAATAAAAACAAAGAGACACGATTTATTGCGTGAGACATGCATGGTGAGATGATTTGTATTATACGGTTAGCACAGTGTTTCAATGTCGAACAAAATTACATAAGTATAAACAAATATATATAGTGGAAAAAAATCCATGAGTGGAAAACAAATCCATGAGGTGGTGGAGGGCATAAAATATTTAAAATTACGGGTGTATCGTAATATGAGGGCTACACCATAGCGTGGACCGATATATCCCATTTACAATACCAAACATCCTAGGAATACTAACAAAGTCTGTGCAAAATTTCAGAGCTCTATCCTAAACGCTGCGATCTCTATCGTTATTTCAACAGACGGATACACATAAATCGACATTGAATTGTATTCTGATCAAGTGGTGTGTCCGTTGAATATTTCGTGATGTGCAGACCTATTATAGATTTGAAAAATTAATAAAAAAAAGCACGCCTATTATAGATTTGAAATTTTAAAAATCCACGCCTGTTATAGATCTTACAAAAACAATTTAAAACTAGTGAGCGGAGCAGTATAGTCGGACGGAGCCGACCATACAATACCCTACACAGTTACCACGGAACTCAAATTTTCTGCGAATGTTTATTCCGAGCCTGGACAATATTTCGTGATATTTGCACCTTCTTGTCCGATTAGAGGTAAAAAGCACCTCTTCCTCACGCTGACATATTTTCCGAATATTACGAGTATTCAGTACAGCTATTGTCCAGATTCCCTTCACCGTGGGTTGTGTTGTGATGTTCGGCTTTCATTTGTGGTCTATAGATCAACTCGAAAATAAGAGTGATAATGGGTTTCTAAATAATATACGAATACGTAAGCACCTGTAAATATTTAAGTGTAACTCTCATATCCGAGCACATACAACAATATAATTGGTATTAATATAAAGGTCTACCACTCCTCTTGGATATAATATCAACTTCTCGGGACAATGTCCTTCAGGGGTAAATATATACGCTATAGAATACAAATTTTGTCATTTTTCACACAAAAGTCAGGTTCCATTTGACCCGCTAAATACACTGTGCGACACGAAAATTTTTCAGGGGTTCTAATGTACCAATTCTGTTTAGTTGAAGTCCCTGGACCACGAAAATACCTTTGGTTTTTCTGGGTCACTTCGAAAATTAATTTTATAACGGTAAATATAGAGAAAAACGCGGTTTCATGGATTTTCCATTTGAAACTTAAATAACTTATTTACTTTATAACGGATTTATACTATTCTTTTTTTTTTCTTTCAAACAAGATATATATTTGGTTAATCGGTTTGGCTGAGTTACAGCGGGTGAAATGTGAAAAAATACGCATAAAGTGACAAAATTTATTTTTCTTCGGACTGTACGATATTTCCTTTAGAGACCCATATTTCCTTTAGAGAATATGCATAGAATCAATACAAAAATGTGTATAAGTCATCCATTTTTTAACAGATTTTTTTGATTTTTAACATTTTCGAAAGCTAATTTAATTTTCTTACCCGTAATATAATAAAACTTATATGACTTGATATCATAATTTCATCGTACAGTCCGAAGAAAAATAAATTTTGTCATTTTATGCGTATTTTTCCACATTTCAACCGCTGTAACTTAGCCAAACCGATTTACCAAATATATATCTTGTTTAAAAGGAAAAATTGTAGTATTCGAGAGAAAAAAAGAATAATATAAATCCGTTATAAAGTAAATAAGTTATTCAAATTTCAAATGGAAAATCCATGAAACTACGTTTTTCTCCATATTTACCGTTATAAAATTAATTTCAGTAGTGTTGGCGGTTTATTTGGGATACCATTTGTATTTTGTTTTTGCAAAATAGTCAGGCTGAATCCCAGTTTGTTGTTTTTATAAAAAACAACTATTTATTAGTGGGGAATGTATGGCATTGTTTGCTGGGGTAAGGCAGGGAAGACTATAGTTTCGGATCACGCCACTGATCCTCATCAGTTCCCTTAGTTTTTTGTTGGGATATTCTCCCCAGAAGCTATTGCTTCTATACAAAAAACCTTTCATACCCAAATGTCTCTTGTAACAAAGCGAAGTACTTAGCTGACCAACGACATAAACTGCATGAGAATTTCGCTGGAGCCTCACTTCGAGGTTAACAAGGCATTTACAAACAATACCACACCTTACCCCTCGGCAAACAATGCCATACATTCCCCACTAATAAATAGTTGTTTTTTATAAAAACAACAAACTGGGATTCAGCCTGACTATTTTGCAAAAACAAAATATAAAATTAATTTTCGAAGTGACCCAGAAAAACCAAAGGTATTTTCGTGATCCAGGGACTCCAACTAAACTGAATTGGTACAATAGAAACCCTGAAAAAAAAATTTTTGTTATTTTGTAGCACAGTGATATTGACCGATCTTTATCAAAACAGGCATGCCTATTCTTTGGCCCGATCCCCTTCTCCATGCAAAATTCCACGATGTTCGGGCCATTATGGCAGCCTCTGGAGCGACCAGAAAAATTAACAAAAATTTAGTATTTGGTCCATTTCATTCACTAAATATTAACCGATCTTTCCCAAAAATATATAGGGGTCTTCATTGGCCAGAACCCATCCTACATGAAAAATTTCGTGAAGATTGGTCCATAACTGTGGCCTGCATCTGTACAAATTATAATGGACAGGACGGACACATATGTCTAGATCGACTCAGCTAATCGAGATATGACGCTATATGAAGCTATAATACCCTGACAACATAGTTGTGTATTCAAAATAGACATTGTAAAATTAGTTTTAAAAAATCCACACCTATTGCAGACTTAAAAAAATTGTTTAAAGATCCACGCCTATTTTAGATAGCAAAAGAAATAATTTTAAAAAATCCACTCCTATTGCAGACTATAAAAAAATGGTTAAAAAAATACACGCCAGTTATAGATATTACAAATAATTAAAAAACACGTTATTATACATCTTAAAACCAGTAAGTAAAGTCGGACTGGGCCGACTACATGATACCCTTCACCACTTTAGTATATTCTACATATGTATACGTCTGGCCTTTTTGAAGGAAAGAGATTAATTTATATTAACTTCAGTACGTTTCGTCAATAGGCCTAGCAATGGACCTCTAGTGCACCATTTACTTAAAATCGGACGAATATATATATGGGAGCTATATCTAAATATGAACCGATTTTCATGAAACTTCGCACACGTCATATTAGACCTAATTCATTACGCTATACCAAATTTCTTGCAAACCGAAAGATATATAGGAACTTTGGTGCACCATTTACATTAAATCGAACGAAAATATATATAAGGAGCTATATCTAAATCTGAACCGATTTCAATAGGGTCAAATAAGTGACCTATGCCAATTTTCATCCAATTTGGATCATAAATGCGACCTGTACTTTGTTTACAGTTTAACATGGACAGGCAGACGGACGGACGGACAAATATGCATAAATCGACTTCGAATGTGATTCTATGCATACCCTGTACCACAGTGTGCTGAAGGGTATAAAAATCCACGCCTATTAAAGACCTTGAACAAAAAGTTTCAAAAATCCAAAAGGCCTAATATGGACCTTGAAAAAAACTCTGTGAAAAGTATTTAAAAAAATCAACGCCTTGAAAAATAATCCAAAACTCCGCGGAAAGTATATTAAACAATCAACGCCTTAACATGGACCTTAAACATTTTCTTTAGAAAACCCTTTTTTTGTAAATCATCTCCTGAAACAAATTCATTTAAAAAATATTTTTATATGAAAAAATTTAATTTCTGTAGTGTTACCGATTTTATTGGGTATGTCATTTATATTATATTTTAATACCAAAAAAATAATCAGGCTTAATTCATTTTTTCTGGTTTCGTAGCACTGTGCTATCGACGGCTGAACATGCACCCAATGCAAATTCAGCGACAACACTCTTATATTCATGAGATATGTATATATGAGACATAGTATATTCGGGATTGTTGTGCTTCTTTATTTTGTTGATATTACAACGACAAAAGCCAACAACAATGCCATCAACTTTGGCAAAACCAACTGAGCCATCAACAAGAAAATACACCCTGACAACGGTACGTGACGATGATGCTGGCGGTATAAAAACATAACCGGCCAATGTTAAGGGCATCAGTTGGGTTCATTGTATCTGTAGAGAATCTAGTGGTTGAAACACGCGCACGCACCAACACCGGCTGACAGGCACACACACTCACCATAAGAAAATGTTTAAATTTGTAAGTATATCGGTTAGCATGCAGCTACTGTCGAATTGCATCATACAGCTACAATATAATTTCTCTTGTGTACCGATCCTTTCACCTCTCGTCCAGACGCTGTTGACGTTCTTTGTTGTGGGCGTAGCCACCATGGTGGCAAATGGCCAGGTTTACGATGACGAGACGGCCGATATCGTTGAAATGGCCTTTGAACAGGCTGAGGCTGATTACTATGCCAACGACAATGACGCGATGGAAGAAAATTTGGGTTATGTGTACAACGACAGTGCCCTGGAAGATAATATCAATGTGGCCGTGAATGCGGCAATTTTGGATAAATATGGTCAGGCAGTGACTAGTGAACGGGCAGCACAGGAAAGTGATCTGGTGGAGAAATCCGAAAATACTGTGGAAAATAATCAAGTGGATGAAGTTATTACTAAAGAAGATAGTGATAGTGCTGTGAAAGTGGAAAAAACTCATGAACCCATTGTCGAAGAAAAATCTTCGAAAGTTGTTAAATCACACAAGACCGCCAAAAGTCTGGTGGCCAAAACAGCCAAAAAAGTTGTAACAACAAAACCCATAGCTAAGCCTGTGCAAAATATTCAATACGATGACAATGATACGATAACACGTTTTGTGAGTCAGGTTAATGCCGATGGTACGTATGGTTTTGATTTTGCCCAATCCAGTGGTTTAGAATTCAAAGAAAAGGGTCAAGGTGGCCTTTTCGCTGAGGGTTCCTATCAATACATATCACCAGAAGGTGAACATATATCGGTCACCTATAAGGCTGATGAAAATGGTTTTCATCCGGAATCGAATATTTTACCCACACCACCACCAATACCCGCCTATATACTAAAGGCATTGGAATATATTCGAGAACATCCTAGTGCCGAACAGCAGCAGCAGCAACAACAACAGGAAGAAGAAAAGGCCGAAGCGTAAAGAAAAAAACATTTTTTAGTTCCGATTAGCCAGAATTATGTTTAAATAGTGTTCATATTTTAGTTTTAAGTTATTATATTTATTGTATAACGATTTAAGTTTGCTTTCTATTTAGAAAAATATATATTTGTAAAAGAAATGTGTTTTTTTGGTTTTGAATCCCCCGGAAATTTTAGGTCATGCTTGAAAACATACAAATATTATGGAAGGTAATTATAATAATACATATTATATAATTTTAATCATATTTTTCTATTTGTTTGAAATTTTCAGGATCTACTTCCAATATTAAAATTGTACAATTTCAACATTTTTATATCCTTTCCTTGGCATGTGCATCTTGTTTATTTCATGAAAACAATTCCATTTCGAAATTTTCATGGAGGATATTTTGACCGGTATATTTGTTTTGAAGATTGAAGTTTTAAAAAAGCTTTTGGTGAGTTTTTAATTACTTGTGTATTTGTTAAAAAAAAACAATAGTCGTATTGTATTGAAATAAGAAATGTTTAAATAGTGTATTCGAGCTTATAGTTGCAGTATTTTTCGTTGATTTTTATAACTGATGGAAATTAAAAAATGTAATTACAAATTATTTGGTTAAAGAAATTCAAATTTAAAAAAAAATCAATTTAAAAAAAGACATTTAAATTAAAAAAAAAACATATGAAAAATGACGAAAAAGGAAAAAGGCATTCAAATAAAAATGAATTTTTAAAATTTAAAATACTTCAAATTAAATAATAATATTACAAGTCATACCTAATTTAATTAATAATTTTGTAATTTTTCAATTTTAAAGTTTTTTTTTTAATTTTAATTTCTTTCGAACAAATCGTAATTTTGAGTCTATATTGTGGTTTTGAAATCACCATACTAGTCTCAAAATATTTAAAATATCGATTAAAAATTTTTTAAAATTTTGAAAATAGTTTCGACATTAAACTCACCATGTTGATTAATAAAATATTTATTCAAATCTTGATAAAAAAAAATCTGAAAGTAATTTAAATTAAAACAAAAAAATAATAAAAAAGGCATTTAAATAAAAAAATTAAATTTAAAATAATTAATTTGAATTATTTTGAATTTAAAAAATATTTTTTTATTTGAATTAAATTAAAAATAATTAATTTGAATTTATAAAAATATTTTTAATGCATTTTTTTTAATTTAATTTTAATTATTTTGAATTTTAATAAAAACATGATTAATTTGAATTTTTTTTTTTGTATTTTAAAAATATTTTTAATGCTTTTTTCAATTTGAATTATTTCGTATTTTAAAAATATTGTTTAATGCTTTTTTTCAATTTTGTTTGAATTATTTTAAATTTTAAAAATAATTTATTTATTTTTTAATGTCTTTTTAATTTTTTTTAATTGGAATTTCTTTCAAAATATCGTAATTATTTGGAATCTACTAGAATAGACTGGAAAATTTTACAATATTGCTAATTTTTTTTTTTAATTTTGTAAACAAACTCAAATTTTGATTAAACAAATAAGTTATTTCAAAATTGTGGCAAAAAAAATTTAAGAAAAATGCAAATTTGTTTACACAATTCAATATAAAATATAATAATAAAAAAAATCAATTAAGGAAATTATTTTTTATAAAAAAAATTAAAAAATACATGCCCACTATTTTTCCCAATTTTGAAAAATGGAAATTTAAAATAACACAGTTTTATTTTTATAAAATAATATTTATTTGAAAAAAAAATATTAGATGAACATAGTTGATTTTTTAAATAAAAATGTTAATTTAAATAGAAAAAATAAAAATTTGTATAAAATAATATTATTTTTTTTTTTAAATAATATTAAAACCCAAAAACAAATGTTAGATAAACAATTGAAACCATATTTTTATACAAAAATATAACTGGCATATAAAAATAACGTGTCAATCTATTTTGAAAAAAAAAATTAAAATATTAAAGAAATAAAAAATAAAATTTAATAACAGATTAAAAATATCATAAAATGTACATAAACAATTGAAAGCTATTATTGTACATTTCTAGTTTCACTACCAAACGACAGGCAACTAATACATATAAGAAAATTTCCCAAAAGATCATATATCTTATTATTTTAAATCATATTTTTTTATTTATTCTCCAACAAATCCCTGAAATCCCCTGCACAATAGATCAATAACCTTTTTATTATTTATAGGCACATTCCCACTTCTATTAGCAGCCTATTAAATATTATTCGCCTTAATAAACCTTGAACCCGTTTAACATCTAATAAATATTCAATGTTATAACTTAGTATCATTCCCAATCCCTCCTTCCCATTTTCTCCCAACACCACGATAATCACATAAATCAATAACAAAAAATTAATTCAATAATGACCCAATTTTTTGCGCTGAAACAAAACGCACCGCATCATTCCAACAAGGTCAATGTCACAATGATGCATTGTGACATCTTCTTTTTTTGGAGTTGATTTGTTTTTGTTATCAAAAACAAATCAACTTAAAATTAACACCAACCGCATCACCAAATCAGCGACTAACTAAGTTGGGGATTTCTCCAATGGCAAAAAAAAAATATGAAACAACACATGTGTCAAGACACATAAAACTTGTTTTTCTTTTTCCTCTTTTTTTAATATAATTTCACATTAATTTTATTCGAAGTTAAACCGAACCAAAAAAAAAATTGTAAACACGCATCTTTATACTTATAATACTACAAAGGTGGAATATGCACTAACACCTCTACGAACTCGCACTCGGCTTGCTCATGCAAAATTAATCAAAAGATAATAATTTTCGTAATAAAAGATGATAAAGATAATAAGTTTTGGAGCCCGTCCCAATAAAAAGGCGAAAACAAAAGAAAAGTGGTAATAACAACAAACAGCACAATAACGACAACAACAAGAAATGTATCTCTATAATACAACCTACCATCCAATGAATGATTTATTTACTTTAAATCGGGTGTAACCATCAAACAAGTTGTGCCCATAAACACAAACACACCTGTCATACCTTTACACAAGTTCAGCGGCATCAACACCAAATCATCATCACTAATTAGTTGGTGTTTCATCTGCAATGAAATTTTGTATCTTTTGTGTAAAATCGTGAATTTCCGGTCTCGTCTATCACAATATATACTTTTTTATTTTATTGTCATAATATTGGCATATGAAAATTTTTTGGTCAATAGGAGTTTAATTGTATTTGATCATAGATCAGACTACCGCATGAACGCCCGGTATGTAGATATAATTTTATTCCGATTTCCCATTCCGGGAATTAAGAGGTGTTATTTTAAATGATTTCGGAAGCTATGATATTTGAAAAGAAGTTTCACCATTACCAACCTATAAGCAAAAGACAAAAGTCCTTCGGAAACCCTACACAACTTTGGATATATACGTGAAGTGTTCAGTTTTTGTTGACAGTTAATAAGACTGTTAGTGTTTTGGAGTGCACTTCTATCTTTTACTAAACAAAAAAGTGGATCAAAGAAACTGTATTATGTTTTTTTTTTATTAAAAATGAAAATAAATACGCATGATTAAAAAATGTTGACTGTGGGATTTAGTGTGTCTACTATGAACAGAAGAAAAGTTCAAATTCGGTATAACTGGAATTTAAACAAGTAAAA